AATAAATGATTAAAACTTTAACTGCAGACTGTATGTAATGTTAACTGGAAGAAAACAAAATTTCCTTCTAGATACTAGCATTTGATCATAAACAAGCTTCTGTCCAAGTTTGGTACAAATTCAAAATAGTATAAGAAAGTTATTAAAATTTTCAAAACTTTAACCACAGAGTGAATATGTTGTTTCCTGGCAGAAAATCTAAGTCCAGTTAAAAGTAAAATACGGAAAAAATGGATTTATTTTTTTACAAAATTTCCTCCTAGATACTAGCTTTTGATCATAAACAAGCTTCTGTCCAAGTTTGGTACAAATCAAATATAGTATAAGAAAGTTATTAAAATTTTCAAATCTTTAACCACAGAGTGAATGTAATATTTCCCGGCAGAAATACTAAGTCCATTTATAAGTAAAATACGGAAAAAATGGAATTTTATTTTTACAAAATTTACTTCTGGATACTATCTTATGATTATAAACAAGCTTCTGTCCACGTTTGGTAGAAATCCAGGATAGTTTAAGAAAGTTTAACCACAGAGTGAATGTTTGTGGACGCCGCCGCCGACGGAATGTAGGACGCTATGTCTCGCTTTTTCGACTAAAGTCGAAGGCTCGACAAAAAGAATCCACGGTAAATGAATAGGCTGACGTCATAACAATGCTTTAATATTAGTAACTACGACCTTGACATACTGACATAAAAATCAAAAAGAATCTTCATCTCATTTATTCAAGTTTGGTTCCTCTCCCGTGTAGGATTACAGGGTTATAATCCCGAAATGTGTAAGATTGCAGGGTTATAATCCAGAAACAACTTTTCTGCACAAATTTCGGTGTATTCTTAGTAGCTTAAACCTTGACATTATACATACGGTAATTACCTCAAAATCAACAGGGATAATTCAAAAAATATTAATTTACCATTTATCCATTGGCAAGTAAGGTTGCAATAACATAATTTTTATACCAAAAAGTTGCATTCTTTCTTTCACAACTCAAATATGATTCCAAATGAGAGCCAGTATTCCTCATCTTACAAGAATATAAGCATCATACTGATTTAACCACTTTTTAAATACATTGTGATCCTTATATAAGAAATGAATGCTTCTTTTTGTAATTTTATTGGTGAGTAAAAGTGTTGACAGAAGCACATTTTGTATGAAGCGCGAAAGCACTTCATTCTATACATGTGAGCACAATCAACACTTTAACACCCACTTTTTCTGCATACATTTGCAAGTTCAACAAAATATGCAAAATCTTACAAAAATCTGTTACACTTACTTTTCCTTCACCTTTAATGAAGGTCATTCTTTAACCGATGTGTTCAATTTACATCAATTGCTATGTTCATAGCATACATGTCTGTTAAGACTTTTCAAATCATTATGACTAGAAAATTACAAATTATCTATATATGTATGTTATAGCAGGAATAAATGTACGGTGACACAATTTTTTCTTTCTATATTCTAAAAACATTTTGTAAGAGCTATCTTCTCATATTTTGTTTTTTACTGTAGTTTGAAAACAAGCTCTGTGACCCATCATTTTTATTATATTTTTGAACATAATATGTACTTCTTTTTGGCAAAGTATTCTATCATTTTTGTTTTTACTACGATACCATCATAAATGATAATTTTTATTTTTTATTATAAAAACATTTTAACAAAGCATTTATATTTTAAAATGAAATATCTGGAATAATTAAAAATTTTGGAGGGTAAATATCAAAATAAATTTATTAAAATTAAAGTCTATTCTTTTTTAGTTTTGGATCATAAATCTAAAAACAGTTAACTTCGAAGGAAAATTTTATATAATATTCTACATAGTTGCTGGATTGTATCACATTTTATAATTTCAAAAACATTTTCGTCCATACTGACATTTTGAAAGTTTATAATATGTTTAGAAGCCTCATAAACAACGTCAAATCTTAAAAATCACATTTAATACCAATACCATGTAATGAAAAGGTTCAGTTCATAGGCGAGTGACAATTTTCAAAAACACGCTTAGTTAACGACTTTAATGCACCCACCTAACATACGGCTATATTATAAATCATTCGAAAGCTTATTACCTGTACCTTCTTTTTTGCCCGGTCGTCAATAATTCGTACGGTGCAATTTTCGTTAAATCAAGGTCAAAGGTCAAAACTGAACATTCCAAAAGTTTGCTAGAATTACACAAAATGCCATTTTCTGGTACTTGTATGGTATTTTTTTCCTAAAAATTATCCAAACCTTATAAAACAAATTACCATGATTTCAAATCAAGTGCAAACTTGAATATTGATTGCGCTATATCAACAGAAAATTGAATTTCTTGAAAAAACTTCCACAAATGATAAAATTGCAATAAAATCTAAATGTTTTCTGAAATTTTAATATTTGTATGTCAAAAATAGAATAGATTTATTGTTTATAGACCGAGGGAATTTTTTCATCATTTTAAACTGCAATTAATATGATGTAGGTCCAGATGCAGCCTTCTAATGAAGCTTTTGTAGTTGCCCAAAAAAACTCCATCTGCAAAAAGGGATCATTTTGCTTTTTTTTTGCTAGATAATATTGCTAATATCGGCAGATAATGATCAACTATATTTAGAAAAAGGGTAATGGAAGAACTTTAAGGAACAAAAGTATAATATTTGGTAAAAATTAGTTTTCCGATGTGGAAAGACATGTTACGAAGATTGTTCTCGTTCAATGTTCGAATCAAAACTGTCTGTACCATGCGCTTTTCAATGCCAAATCCGGCGATTTCCTTTTAATGTTAGCCCATTATTATATACTTTGTTAGTTGTTTTATTAAATATGACTGAAAATTAATAATTCAGATTTATTAAGATTGAATAACCTTCATGAACAACTGTAATCACCATATTGGTTTATGCAGTGTTCACACAATTCGGTATAGTGTTTTAAGAAGATTTGTTTGTATGTCCTACATTTTCGCCATGGTCATGTTGTTATCTGTTTTTCGTCGTCTATGGTTTGAGACTGCCTCCTTATTATCTTATCCCTTCTTTCAATCAAAGAAAAGAAAACCATAAATTTCAAAGCTGAGCGAAAAAAGACAAAAGAACTTAAAACTCAGATATTGATACAAAAACAAAATTGGTAAAACAACATAAATTACCGAACTCCAAGTGAAAATTCAAAACGGAAAGTCTCTTATCAAATGACAAATCCAAAAGCTGAAACACAACAAACGATTGGAAAACAGTTCATAGAGCTCGTTGTTCTCTCTCCATCTCTATCTTTCTTTAAGTGATAAAGCGGAAATGTATGAATCATCTTGTCCCTACGTCATTTTTTCTTTTGTTCTTTCCCTTCACATATCCATATGTTAGTCTCAAAATTGTAATGAGCAATATTCCTCCGACATTGCTTGGTAGAATTATGGAAGTTCAAGGTGCGCATATGGAGGTTATACGTAAATGGATATGTTTCATAATATACATATTCAAATAGCGCTAAAAGCAGTAATCGCTTTAAAATTTACCAGAACATACCTGCTTTCAAGCTATCTCATTAAGTTAACCCTAATCTTATTAAAATGTAGTTCTCTGATTTCGTTATTCTCATGCGATATATGAGCAGGCGAGTCGTGATTGATCTGAATTTAAGTCAGATTGTTTGAACCCATGTTTTTAACATATACATAACGTTTTGTACGGTTTATTTTTTCATGTCAACTTATATCACTTATTATTGTTGTGAGATCTTCGCACCATTAGAAACTTGAACCAAAAAAAATGAAAATAAAGTGAAAAAATCGCCAAAAGTCTCTGTTAGATCAACAACAGAGGGTTCAATGCACAGTAAATATCCACGAATATAATTTAAGATCAGATGACATAAAACCAATTAAAAAACTGGATTAATTCAACCACAATTTTTTTCATTTCTCACAATTGTATAGATATTTTAGAATAAAATAACTTCATTTTAACCATTTGTATTCTTAATATACATGTACTATCTATTATATACCAATGTTCAACCAATGCTTAATAGATGATCTACTAAAATAGTGCTCTCTTTTTTAAATGCCTAAAATGAAAATATTATGTGACACATCTACATTGAAATTTAAATGCAAAATCATAGCCAATTAAATTTGAAATAAAAGTTGTTCAAATGCATTTATATTTATGTTTGTATTAAGCAACTTTACTTGTAACATTTAGCTGAGGTAAACATCAATATTCAAACGGCTTTGTTTTGTAAGAGGTTGCCTACTTTTACAAAAGGTGATAATGCTGATTGGTAGATTTGTGTTGTGACACCTTCACAGTAACTTCGTCCTTGATACTAATAGCTATAACTAATGTATTGTTGATGGGGATTGCCAGTTTTCCTGCCGAAGGTCGGTGGTTCCTTGGGCATTCCATGGGCCTAAACCATTTAAAACTGATCGCCGCAAAATACTTTAGTAGCCAAAAGTGCTAAATCGAAAATTGCGTCAAACACCAACAATCAATCAATCATCTTTATATTAAAATGTATTTATATGTAAACTATTCAGGGAGTAAAATTGATTAATGGAAATGTATGTATTGTTATTGCGAATTGCTAGATTTCCCAATTCAAAAATTAATGTAAGTTAATATAATTGCGAGAGTCTCAATTAATTCATTTACTAGAAATTACGTAGTTTGACACGATTAAATATCTTGGCCAGGCATGAAGAACATTTCAGTGGCTAGCTTATAATAATTTTCACTTCCTCAGTCAAGCAAGATGCAGTATAAGCAACCAAGAAAACATACAAGTATTGAAATATTGAAATATCAAAGTTTCGATCCCAAACTTTTCCCTAAATGCATGAATTTCCTGTGTATTCTATCCTTTAACATCTTTGCACTTTTAAAATTTGTGATTTTCAACATAATATCGACTACACCCAATTGTTATAACAAAGAAAACCTGAAAAAAAGCTATCTTTTTGCAGATGGCGGTATTTTGAGCAACTGCATGGTTGTTATAATTGGCTGTTTAATCAACAAGAAGAGTAATTGCAGTAATTTAATGATGTCAAAAACACCCTTAGCACTAAATGAAATATGTTATATGATTTTATGGTGAATAACAGTTGAATTACGGACATAAAATTTGATATCCATGTATTTTTGTCATTTTCAACGGAATTTCTGAAAAACAGCGCTATTCATTAAAAATCCGACACTTATATTTCAAAGTGCTTTTGATAAGTAACTATTAACATCTGTTCTAAGAGATTTCCATATGTACATACAGAATATCGTTATTCAGAAGACAGAATATGCAAAAATGCTGACTTCTAGTAAAATTAGAAGTTGTCCGCCCTTGACCTTTTGTTGTGATGTGACGGAAACTGCACCATACGAATTTTTGACGACCGGGCAAAAAAGGTAGTGCAGGTGATGTGCTTTCGGATGGTATATGATTTAGCCGTATGTTAGGTAGGTGCATTAAAAATAAAAATTTATGGTTAATGTCGCTCGTCTATCAAGCAGTAAATGTAATAGACCTGAACTCTTAATTGTCAAGCTCAGAGAGTTTTCTGTTTGAATAATGATCAATTTGATGTCTTTTATGTTAAATGTGAATTGCAGAGTAACATAAAAATATTCACAATAAGAAATTTAAATTATCAATATTCTTCTTTTATATTTAAAATTTTTAATCATTTTAATGTCTTCAATGGATGCAGTTGATTCATTTTAAGTAACATTGGTAAGAATATATGTAAAAAGTAAAATAACAAAAATACTGAACTCCGAAGAAAATTCAAAACGGAAAAACCCTAATCAAATGGCAAAATCAAAAGCTCAAACACATCAAACGAATAGATAACAACTGTCATATTCCTGACTTGGTTCAGGCATTTTATTATGTAGAAAAATGGTGGATTAAACCTGGTTTTATAGCTAGGTAAACCTCTCATTTGTATGACAGTCGCATAAAATTCCATTATATTGACAACAATGTGTGAACAAAACAAACACAATAGGGAAAAATGTCAAAAATAGGGGTACAGCAGTCAACATTGTCTTATAATCTTAATCACTATAGAAGCAAACAAATATGTCAACGAAGAAAATCAATAAGGCATTATTAAAAGTCAATAACAGTTTTAATTTTTAAATACAGTATTGCAAACAATAGGAATCTATCAAACTTTTTATGACAGTCCTATTTCCACGCAATTGTTTTAATATCTATGTTATTTCTTTATCATAATTCCTGTTCCAATGAGGGCAATATGAACATCTTCTTTTGAAAAATGTTGAGGTAAGGTAGAATTACCTCTAGCTGGACACAAAAAAAAATCCCCATACACTGTAAAGTACGTTGTACTTAATATGTTTTTAATGTTATTTCACCAGTTTACAATAAAAAATGTTTGTCAAATACCTGAGGAATGTGTGAATTAACTATTGTTAGAAATTCATTCAAATATTTACTGGTCCTGAATTAATGACAAGTAACAGATAAAACTATACAAATGTCAGAAACATACATGAAGGGGGAGGGGGGACTTCTTAATTATCAAATGTTAAAAGTTCCTCATGAATTGACATTAAATTGGTGTAAAACTAGTGATTCAATTCGAACTTCTTGAAATATACACAAAAAATGTATGTCTAACCTGCCTTTTCCTCATCATAGATATGATTCATATTCTATTCAAGTCTACAAAATTTAATATCTGAGAGAGTCTGCTATGAGTAGTAGGTAGTTTTATGAGAAATACAGATTAGGAAATACCACTAGTACCAAGCTTATTTGGCAAATTAAACTAGAGGCTCTAAAGAGCCTGTGTCGCTCACATTGGTCTATGTGCATATTCAACAAAGGACACTCTCCAACATTGTAGATGTGAATAGAATTCATGACAAAAATCTCTGTTTTGTTGATCTTGTATTGCTGATCATTTATTCTGTTTAGCTTTTAATTATCTTCTTTAGTTTTTGCTCAAAACACAAAAAAAGCGTCATTTAAGGGTAATCACTCCTATAAAGAGTGACAGTCTACTAATTATATTAGCAAATTTTGACTTGATAGTAGATCTTGACTTGCTGATCATTTTTGTGATTTAAAATGTCTATTTAACTATTTTTATCATATAAGGCAAAATGCAAAAATAAAATGGTGAAAATCGTCATTATGAAAGGAGTCGGCGGACGATTTCCCCCATTTAATCTTAATTGTAGATCTTGTCCAGCCGATCATTTTTGCTTATTTAAGTTTCTATTTATCTATTATCATTTTTAAGATATAAGGCAAAAACGAAAATAATTGGTAAAAATCTTCATCGAAGGACAATAACTCCAATAAGGAGTCGACTGACGATGTCGACCGTGAAGAACTTATTTGTAGAACTTGTCTTGCTGATAATTTTTGCGATTAAAAGACAGTAGACAAAAATGAGAAAAAAAATGGTAAAATTTGTCATTTAAGGGCAATAACTCCTGTAATAAGTCGTCTGACAGTTTTGACTTCTATGGACAATTGGTAGAGCTGAACATTCTGAACATTTTTGACTCCCCTTCAGATTTTCTCTATTTATAATGGTTTTCAAAACAATAGACAAAACTTGCACTTTACCGCTATGTTCTATTTTTAGCCATGTAGGCCATCTTGGTTGGAAGGCGGTGTCATCGGACACATTTTTTAAACCAGATACCCCAGTGATGATTGTGGCCAAGTTTGGTTAAATTTTGCCCAGTAGTTTCAGAGGAGAAGAGTTTTGTAAAAGTTAACAGACAACGACGGATTCCAAGTGATGAGAAAAAGGCCATGTGAGCCAAAAATAAATCATGAAATCGAGATTTTTTTTTTTAAATCCAACATTCATATCATTCATTTCTAAAACCCAGTGAAAAATCCTTCTGTTCAAAATGAAACTAGGAGTTGCACTCTCCTGTAGGCACTAAACATTTTGTGACATTCTCATTAAAATAAATCATTACCAGTATGTGGTTAAAAGGTGCTGAAGACAGGTCATACAGATGAATGAACTTTTGTTTTACATAACTAAAAAATACAATGAGATAAACAATAACATCTGTTAATTGGTTAAACCTAACTAAATGGATTTCTCTTAATAATACTAGTACCCAAAGTTTGGCACAAAAAACGATCCAACCCAGTTAATGGATAACTTGCAGAAATTGTACATAAACAGTACTGATGACGAATAAAGTGTTTATGTGTGTGGCAGCTTTCCAGGATTAAAAAAAAACTCCATGTGTGACTTTAATTAACCATTTGAGCTAGGTCAAACCTGTTTGATTAACATAAACAGGTCTCATATAAAATTGAAAGAACATCACCAAAATTGAATTTACATAAATTTACAATTGGAAACACTGGTCACCTCTGCACAAACCTTTATCTAGGAAACAATAAGACTCATAACAAATGTGAACAAAACATACAGAAAGAAAACTTATTAAGGAATACAAATAAAATAAAATAAAATCTTTAAAACTTTCATAATATGCTTAACAAACTGACGGTAATTTTTTTAATTTTATAAACAAGAGTTCCCTCAACCAACATACATAGCTAAACTCAACACTTTAATCAGAGTAAGTTGTTTCCTTCTCGACAGTTATATTCATTATCAGCATGGATTGCAGAAGCTTTAGAAAATCTTATATATTAATAAATCGCAAGAGAAGGGTTAATTCAAAAATCCTAAGAAGTAAGAGAACTAGAGCTGAGTTCAATAAGAATTTTATTCTTAATTTTACCAGAACAAAATTATCTAATGAAGAGATCCTCCTACATACCTGCCAACTGTCACTATTGGTGGGGGATTTTCCCCATGGAGGCTCCCAATTGGAAATTTTAAAAGAGCAATTTTGTCCACAATTTAAAACAAAACAATCAATTTTAGCATGGGTATATGATTGTAAAAGTATGAAGAAGCAAATAAACATCATTAAAATAAATTTGAAGGCCCCTTTAAAAGGTTTGGTGGGACAATGAGAGCCATCTTGCACGCTAAACCCCCATGGGCATTATGAAATGTTGGCAGGTATGCTCCTACTGAGCAAAGGAACTAAATTTGTTCTGAGCCTTAATACATTTCACATCAGAAAAAATATTAAGGCAGATTTTTTAGAATTAGCCAGGAAAATGAGACGTAGGTTTTGTTTATCAAATAGATTAATAATCTTGTCTCCAGTTGGCAAACTTTTTACAGTTTTTAAAGTTATTTCAGAGATATGGAAAATATGTCATCAAATTGTGATTTAGACTTATAAGGCTGACATTTATAATAAATTCCAAAGTTAAAATTAAAATTCAATGTGACCTGTATGTTATGTTTCATAACATTGTGTAAAAGGGTAAAATATGTTTGTGCCAAACGGTACTTCCATTTTCACCTAAAAAAAAGCCTCTAAACTTTTAGGTTCCTAAAAGGAATAACTCTTGAACAGTAAATGACAAATCAGCAAATCGAACTTGACTTGTATTTTATGATTAATGACATTGTGTTTTTCAGGATTTCGTCAAATTACAAACACAAGAAAGATGATAAACACATACTGGTATTGACTGGTGGGCAAGACAAACATACATGTCATACAATATTACATGATAATAAAAACAACATCACGAAATAATTTGGATATCTCCAATATTTCCCACATATAAGTAACACCATAAAATGTAAACTAAGTAGTTAACATAATTTTAGAACTTTTAAGTAATAGTAAGTATTTATTTAGCATTAAGTAGATACTAGTATTCAACTCAGAAGAAAAAAAAAGGAAAACTAAAAATATAATACATATACAGCCAATTCATCTATATAACTGTGTAGCTTTGATAACAATCTATATTGAATACATTAAATTAGCATTAGAAAACAAATCATAACTACATTATGAACCAAAAATAATAGCATCAAGTTCCTAATCAATCATATTGACTTAAGGGATACTAACAGAAAACATATGCTGTCACAAATTTTTATTCAATTTTACATTCTTCATCAGCATTTTGAACTTGATTTTAAAAAAAAATGTAATTTTTCATTTCCAAATTCATCAAAATGTATGCAGAATCTTATAAAAATATGGTACACTTACTTTTCCTTCACCTTTAATGAAGGTCATTCTTTAACCGATGTGTTCAATTTACATCAATTGCTATGTTTAAAGCATACATGTCTGTTAAGACTTTTCAAATCAATATGACTAGAAAATTACAAATTATCTATATATGTATGTTATAGCAGGAATAAATGTACGGTGACACAATTTTTTCTTTCTATATTCTAAAAACATTTTGTAAGAGCTATCTTCTCATATTTTGTTTTTTTCTGTAGTTTGAAAACAAGCTCTGTGACCCATCATTTTTATTATATTTTTGAACATAATATGTACTTCTTTTTGGCAAAGTATTCTATCATTTTTGTTTATACTACTATACCACCATAAATGATGATTATTATTTTTTATTATAAAAACATTGTAACAAAGCATTTATATTTTAAAATGAAATGTCTGGAATAATTAAAAATTTTGGAGGGTAAATATCAAAATGAATCTATTAAAATTAAAGTCTTTTCTTTTTAAGTTTTGGATCATAAATCTAAAAACAGTTTACTTTGAAGGAAGATTTTATATAATATTCTACATAGTTGCTGGATTGTATCACATTTTATAATTGCAAAAAAATGTTCGTCCATACTGACATTTTGAAAGTTTTTAATATGTTTAGAAGCCTCATAAACAATGTCAAATCTTAAAAATCACATTATCAATAACATGACATAAAAAGGTTCAGTTCAAGCACTAAATGTAATAGACCCGCACTCTTTATTGTCAAGCTCAGAGAGTTTTCTGTTTGAATAATGATCAAATTGATGTCTTTTATGTTAAATGTGAATTGCAGAGTAACATAAAAATATTCACAATAAGAAACTTAAAATTATCAATATTCTTCTTTTATATTTAAAATGTTCAATCCTTTTAATGTTTTCAATTGATGCAGTTGAATCATTTTAAGTATCATTGGTAAGAATATATGTAAATCATTATTAATAGTCAATAACATTTTTAATTTTTAAATACAGTATTGAAAACTATAGGCATCTATCTAACATTTTATGACAGTCCTATTTTCACGTAAATGTTTTAATATCAATGTTATTTCTTTATCATAATTCCTGTTCCAATTAGGGTGATATCAACATCTTCTTTTGAAAAATGTTGAGGTAAGGTAGAATTACCTCTAGCTGAACACAAAAAAAATACCCATACACTGTAAAGTACTTTGTACTTAATATTTTTTTAATGTTATTTCACCAGTTTACAATAAAAAATGTTTGTCAAATACCTGAGGAATGTGTGAATTAACTATTGTTAGAAATTCATTTCTTTATCATAATTCCTGTTCCAATGAGGGAAATATCAACATTTTCTTTTTGAAAACACCTCTAGCTGATCAAAAGAAAATCCAAATTTACTGTTAAGTCCTTTGTACTTAATGTTTTTTAAATGCCTTTTCACCAGTTTCACAATAAAAACTGTTAGTTAAATACCTGAGGAATATGTGAATTAGCTATTGTTAGAAATTTATAAAATATTTACTGGTCCTGAATTAATGACAAGTAACAGATAAAACTTTACAAATGTCAAAAATATACATGAAGGGGGAGGGGGGGGACTTCTTAATTTTCAAATGTTAAAAGTTCCTCATGAACTGACAATAAAACAAGTTAAATTCGAACTTCTTCCAATATACAAAAAAAAATGTATGTTTAACATGCCTATCCTCATCATAGTTACATTCATATGCTATTCAGGTCTACAAAATTTAATATCTGAGAGAGTCTGCTATGATGTTGTCTTTTTATAATTCAATGAAGACCTTACGTGACTGGCATGTGTTATTCTCTTATACATTTGTAATTCCAAATTATAAGACTAACATCCACATTTTCCAAAAGAAGGTAGTTTTATGATGAGGATTACAGATTAGGAAATACCACTTGTATCAAACCTATTTGGTAAATTAATAAATAAATTATGAAATTTAGATTTTTTTTATCAGAAATCCAACATTTATATCCTTCAATTCTAAAACCCTGTGAAAAAATCCTTCTGTTCAAAATGAAACTAGGAGTTGCACTCTCCTTTAGGCACTAAACATTTTGTGACATTCTCATCAAAATATATCATAACCAGTATGTGGTTAAAAGGTGCGCTGAAGACAGGTCATACAGATGAATGAACTTTAGTTTCACATAACTAAAAATACAATGAGATAAAAAGAGTAAAAAAAATATCTGTTATTTGGTTAAAGCTAACTAAATGGATTTCTCTTAATAATACTAGTAACCAAGGTTTGGCACCAAAAACGATCCAACCCAGTTAATGGATAACTTGCAGAAAATGTCCATAAACAGTACTATTTACGAATAAAGTGTGTGACAGCTTTCCAGTAATCAAAAAAGCCTCCATGTGTGACTTTAATAAATCATTTGAGCTAGGTCAAACCTGTTTGAGTAACACATACAGGTCTCATATAAAATTGAAAGATTCATCACCATAATTGAATTTACATGAAATTACAATTGGAAACACTGGTCACCTCTGCACAAACGTTTATCTAGGAAACAATAAGACTTATAACAAATGTGAACAAAACATACAGAAAGAAAACTTACTAAGGAATACAAATAAAATAAAATCTTTATATCTTTCATAATATGCTTAACAAACTGACATTCATTTTTTTAATTTCAAAAAGTCCAATCACCTATATTTTAAATTTCTGTAAGATGTCAGAGTAAAAACAAACAGTTTCAACATACTTATATCATATCCCCACAGCAATATTTGTGCACTAATGAATTAGTGTCAAACCCTAAACAAATAATGATATAAAAATCTAAAAAAAGTAAGTTTATTGAATTTTTGAATACCCGGTAAGCTTATTCTAAAAGTTTGTCAATTTAACGCTATAATTAGATCTTTTAATATTGTTTCAATCTTTTTGAACATTGATTTGTATCAATAAATTAAAACATAACTAAATGAGTTCTGGGTGCCCTCAAACAGGTTTAACCCCTTCACATTCTGTATGTGCCTGTTCTAAGTCAGAACTTCAGAAGCCTATAAAATATTCAGTGATTGTTGTTTGTTGCTGTATATTATATTTTTCTTTGATTATTGTGGTGTACATGAATCAGGGTGTTAGATTTCTCGTTTGAATTGTCGTACATATGTCATGTCATAATCATACTAAATCTTTGTCTCATTGGCAATCATATAACATCTTCATATTTTTATATCTTGTTGGCAAAAGTGGTTTGTTATTTTTATCAGTATCTAAACTTTAATGGAAAATTGTGGATATGGAGCAAGTTTGGCAATTTGGCCTCACTGCATTTTCTAGCTGGAAGCAATCAAGAAGAAATTTGAAATAGTAATTTATCTAACAGACAAATTTTTTGTGATCATCCAAAGTTAAGGTTTATAAAAGATCAGGATTTTAAAGTTTTTAAATACCAGATGCAAAACAAAAACACCTTTCAAGGGAAAATTTCAATGCAAGTTTTTGGCAGACAGCATATATGTGATCTCTATTCATGCTAAGTAGATAAAATACATACAAATTAAAGCGAATTATAACCTAGTTGTATTTCTCCTTGAGATTCTTTGTTGAGGTCTTTTTCGTTTCTTCTTGATCCCTGCTTTTACCATTGTTAAAATCTTTCTTCATTACTTCTTTGCTAAACAGTTTAGTGTTGAAATTTTCTGTAATGTAATCAGCTACATATCCACCAATAAAAGGTCCAATCCAATAGACAAAAACATGTTCTGCATTAGAGGTTCCATGACATCCAAATGTATACCCTGTTGCCAGGGCAGGTTGATTGTACATTCCAGTATAATGCACGCCTTAAAATAAAGCAGAAAAGTTGGTTTACAAAAATGCCCCTGCAGCATATAAGATAGAAAAAAATAAATGCAAACTCTTTTGGTTAATTATCATTATGTAACTACCTGCAAGTGAAATCAATAAAATTTTTGAATGACAGATCCTCAAATACTTGCAACTCCCCATGAAAAATCATGATCTTGTCAATTTCATTTATACAAGGACATATTCTATATGTTAGTAATGAGTATGAGTAACCAATAATTTAGGAAGGAATTATGAACTGAGGTAAGATTAATGCATTTTGTAGTTCATGCATCTTCATGTTGAGGGATAAAAACATTGTACTTTGAAGTAGGGGTACTGAGTTGGAAAATTGCTCCCGATTCCATCAGATTTATAGTTTTTAAAGATATCATAACAAAGTACAGCCAAAATAGATTTTTTGATATACTCTTGTGATACATTGGATTCATCAATTTTCATGAGTACCAATTTTCGTGGATATTCGATTTCATGGATTTGCAAAAGCCTGTGTAAAAAATTGTACTTCATTAAACTTTTAAATTCAAAGTTCACCTATACCCATGTAATCTGTGAACATTGGTATCTCACAAATAATAATGAATACACAGTAATGCAATTTATAAATATCTATGAAAAATGAACAGTAATAAAGTACAAAAAGGTTATTAAGGAAATTGTACAAACAAACACTTAACTAAATTTGTTTATCCTAATCAATGTACCATTGTAATAACATGAATCCAAATCTCTTTCTATAAACAAAAAGATGTCTGGTTCACAAGCATACAGGCCACATCTCCTTATTTTTAGAACAATAACAAATGTATCAATTTCATCTCTCTAATGCCTGTACCAAGTCAGGAATATGGCAGTTGTTTTGTTGGAAACTTGTTCCATTGATTGATAGTGCTTGATTTTGTCAGTTTTTATGGACTTCCCCTTTTCGAATTTGCCTTGGAGTTCGGTATTTTTGTAATACTCTTTTCTGGGAATTTCAAATATTTAAGATCTGATTTTAAAAATATATGGAGAAAGTAGCTACAATCATGACAATACATTAAATCCAGAACTTTCAACACAACATGTAAAACTTTGCTTTATAACAGAAAATTAACTAGAAAAATGATTGTTCTTAACAAGGCAAAACTTTAAAAAATCAACAGACTACACCCACTGAAATGTCTCACCTGATTTACTGATCATGATTGAGTTGTATGTTGAAAGTCTTTAAGATCAAAGTTTTACTTCAGGTATGACACAAAAAGTAAAACAACAAAAATACCGAACTCCAAGGAAAATTCCATTATATTGAAAACAATGTCATTTTGTGTGAGCAAAACAAACAGATATAATAGGTAAAAATGTCAAAAATAGGGTACAGCAGTCAACATTGTGTTATTATCTTAATCACTATAAAAACATATATGTCAACAAAATGGCATATAGACAAAGCACATACCATGTAAGCAAAAATAAAAGACAAGAATACAAAAAATGACCACAGCACAACAACACATTGGCGGGATGCATAAGTACTGTTAAGCAAAGTTAACATTATCAATATGAAAAAGATCAAATTTTGAGGATGTGAAAGAAAATCCAGTAAGCAAATCCTGATAATAAAATGTACCTATAATGAACTAACCAAGCTGAATATACAATTTGTAGCTGGAAAACTGTAGGAGGAATTAGCTGGACAAATCATGTACATTTCATGTATAATTTCACCAAAAAAAAATGATAAATTAAGTTCAACATGTTGTTATTTGTTGACAATTTAAAGAAAATACCTATATTGATAAAATGCACATCTTTTGAATATCATATGTAATAACACCACTTTCTAGCTTGAAAACTGAAGAAGGAGTTTGTCAGAAAACCATGTATCCTTAAGCTATGAGGCTTGGAAATAATAACGGACTTGCGGATTGTTTTCAGCTTTTAATACCAGGCCAGGCCAGGTTACTCATTTTCAACAATTATCCTCCTTTTCATAAAAGCCCTTAATATTTTCAAATCTTGGTTTTAGACGGTTTTTTTTAATATTTGGTGAAAAATATACATATGTCATTACAATTGGGTATAAACAATTTCTACTACATGCTTAAGAGAAGTTCTTCATTACTTATCTCTCATATTATATAAATAAAAATTAACTAAACTTAATCAATATTTTCATACCTGAACATACAACAAGTGCACTGTTGGTCATTTTAATTAAGAGGTTGATACCATGATATCTGGACAATGGGAGTGACCATATCCACATATCCCATGCAGTTCCCATCATCTCCAACAAAAATCCTAAAAATACAGTGACTTTCAAGTCTGATGTACAAGCATTTGATAGCATGTATTTGAAATCTTCATGAAATTCCAACTGCATAATCTTCTGAGCGAGGTAAAAGGCTGAAATCGCACCATTAACTTGAATAACAATTCGTAAAACAGACCTCCATAATGTCTGCTTGCCTTTTATAACAAACAGAAAGTTATCAACAGGACTAATACTACCTTCAGTCATCAACAGTAATGATATCACATTGATTGGAACCATTATTACACAGTAACCTATGTGGCCATGGTAAGTCCTTGTAAGACCAAATGCAAGAGGATATGTAAATATGGCAATACTCTTGAAAAAATCCAAGGCATACAATTTGATTGATCCTGGCAGGATTACATTGGACAAATTGTGCATAATAACACAAAGAAGCATGACTAACAGACAGAAAACAACAGAGGCAACAGCTGGTGATAGGTAATGGATGTCTGGGCTGACGGTTTCCTGTAATAACTCTCTCCACTTCATTTTCTGCAACAAATAAATAATAGAGTCTGAGTAACATGTCAATTAGTAGTTGATGGTGTGAGTATCAGATTATCAGTGGTGAATTTATGTTACACCCTGATATGACCACAGAGATAGACCCCTGAACAGTTGGGGCAAGTATGGACACAACATTCAGCTTTGAATTTGGATTGTGATTCAAGATTTGCCACAGCATTGGTTTCTGACACAGAATGAATGTGGTCTAAGAACTTAAAAATTTGAAATTGGACATTTACTTATTATGGCCCAATATTCAAAATCTAAATAGATGGTTAGACTCAGCATATCACAGAACCTCAAGAATTCAATTTTTGATAAAATTCAAACAAAATTTAATTTTGGACCATTTGGACCTCAATGTGGACCAATATGATAGATTCAGCATATCAAAAAAAAACCATATATTCAATTTTTGTTGAAATCAAACAAAGTTTAATTTTTGACCCCCGATTTGGACCAACTTGAGAACTGGGCCCCAAATCAAAAATCTAAATACATATTCAGATTCAGCATATTATAGAACCAAAAATTCAATTTTTGTTAAAATCAAACTAAGTTTAACTTTGGACCTTAATGTGGACCAATTTGAAAATGGGGCCCAAAATCAAATATCAAATAACAAAGAATGCCAAGAATTTAATTTTAGTTGAAATCAAACAAAATTTAATTTAGACCCTTTGGACCTCAATGTGGACTAGTTTAAAAATGGGGCCCAAAAATCAAATATCTAAATACATTGTTAGATTTAGCATATTTAAGAACCCCAAGAATTCAAGACTTTGAATTAAACCTCAATGAAATCGGCAATTCATACAAAGTATTAGAAAAGTATTTTTGGCCCTTTTTCCTAACCAGTTAAGGCCAAAACCCCTAAAATCAATCCCAACCTTCCTTTTTTGGTATGAAATTGAGGTACAATTCTGCATATTTCTTATTCAAGTGTACAGTTTAACCATTTTTTGTATGATCATGCAATAATTCAATCCAAGTGCACAATTTTTACAATTTTTTTCATAATTCTGCAATGATTTAATTCAAGCTGCACTGTTTTACAATTATTTGCATAATTCTGCTGTTTTAAATCAAGTGCACAGTTTTACAATTATTTTCATAATTATGCAAGTTAGGAAATGTTAGATACTTTGGTATCAATCCACCAAAAGTAACAATTTTCAAGTAGAAGATATCTCCTCATATACACTTGTCATACTGTGTATTTTCCATATATAGGCTCCAACATTTCCTATGTAGTTAACATGTCTTTATGAGGTCCCCAAATCCCTATATTGGTCAGCTGGTCATATCAAAGTAACAAAGAATACATAATTGAGCAATTATAAGTTTGTATTTTGATGAAATTTTACTATTTATCTAGTTCTTGCTATGTCTTCAAACTTTTGCAGTTGCACAGGTTTGTCTGTGTACAGAGTAAATTGTAGTGTAAACATCCACAATACTTATAAATTCGATATGAGAATACTATAGTAGTCTCAGATTCGATCAAATCATCTGATGAATCTGAACTTTTATATACATGTATCTAGTGGGTGCTAAACATTTTGCCATGTACGACAATCCCCTTTCATATTGTGTGTGGAATTGCATGTCTCTCTTGTTGTTTTGATTTTATCTCATAGAGGCAATTTTTTGGGGGGTGGGGGCTGGGGGGGCCTCCCTTTAAGGAGCTGCAGTTATTGTTAATGCAGACTTTTTACCGGTTGGACTACACATTTTGTCTAGTTAAGGGGCACACAGGCCCCCTTTTTCAAAATCCTTGATCCACATCTGTCTCATTTCGAAATTTTCTCATGGGACGTAAAAAAATGTACGGGAACCACTGTGTTGTCCAGGAAGGCCGGACAATTATCGATACTGTATATTGACTATACACCTTACCGCTATTTGTCCGCCATTACTAGACATCACACAGGTTCCCGTAAAATTTTGAGGTCATAATACAAAATACCTGACGCCACAATGGAAAAATGTGATTGTTGTATGACGTCAAAAGTTCAAGCGGGACAGATTCTCGTGTCAAGCGGGACAGTTTCCAAATAGCGGTAAGGTGTATTGGTTATAATTAAACCTTATTAAGTTTCTGTGTTTTCCTTAAAGCTTTAAGTAAATGAGTAATAAATTAGCAAACCTGACAACACGTACCTGGTGCTATGACTGGGCTGATTTTTTTCCAAAAATATTCCAAATCTCGCTCTCAATTATAAATATACGTCGACTACTTCGAGGAACCGATTACACGTTGAAGGGACTATTATGTAAGGGAACAGAAACTCTAATATTCGTTGACACTTTTCTTCTAGATAAGGAAATTCGACATTGTTAGAGACTGAAACATTTTGCATGTTTTCGGACAACCAATACCACATAAAAAAAACTCGGAAATTACTAGGCAAACTGAATAGACATCATTTTTTTTATATAAAAACATTCACGGTATTTGAGCTCCTCAGTTATGTAACCTCAAACATCTGATAAGATAGTAAAGCTATACAAATAAAACAAATCTACGTAACCGTTTATCGCAGGGCAGATCTTATAACCTCCCTGTTTTTGGGATTGGAAGTTCCGTCGAACAGTTTCTTCTTCTTCAGTCGTGACTCGATGATGCCTTTCTATGTTTAGGTGTTTATTATATTCTATTTTTCACTAATCTCTTCGTTTATAAGCTAAAGATTTACTTTTTTTTTTATTCTTTTCGTTGACAGTGGCGGATCCAGACGGGGGCGTAGAGGGCGTACGCCCCCCCCCCCCCCCCCCCCCCCTTTGCTTGTACTTTTTTTTTTTTTGTAAAATGATTAATCAGACTAGACTTCGTGAACTTTGCCATTTCCCGCGTATTTAATTTTTATGCGACAATTCTTTACTTATAAAGATATGTTTCGCTCGTATTTACTGTAATATATTATTGATTATGTCAAAATCATGTGATTCGCTACGGTGGAGTTGACCAGTGCGTCGAAAAAACGTCACTCAGTCATTTTGAAATTCAAATTACAGTAACACATTGCTTAGGCTGAGGATGACAAGCATGACATCTTCAAAGCGACAAAGGCTTGAGCAAGAACGTATTTATTGACTTCTATTTCACAACTACACCAAACAGAAAGTAATACTCTATTACACTCTCATGAAAAAAAAGTTCCACAGCAATATTATTTACCTACGAAAACATGTTTAACCCCACACGCCCCAGCCTATTAATAACATAGCTGAATAATGATCCCCAGTTAATAAGCTCTAGATAGATTTAAAGTCTAAGGTACGGACCATTTGATTTGAGGGGGCAGTCTGAGATATTTGAGAGAAAAAATTCTGACCCTGATTTTTGCCTTAAACAAAAATTCTGGCCGTATCTGGATTGAAAACAATGATCTTGTCCACTATTTTGCTATTAGAAACAAAAATTTCCAACAGAATTATTTAGCATTAAATGAACATGATGAATAAAAAAACGGGCGTAATTTATTTGGGGCCGGGGGTTTGCATGTAAATCCCATATCTGACCGGAATGTCTGTTTCGTCGAACGGATAAAATGAATTCTTTTTCAAGGCCCGACTGCAACCTGCCTGCGGGGTGTGGCCTTTATGTCTCCATTTGTCGACCGTAATTCATAAATTCGTTGTCATTTCAGACTCATTCGTAGACTTTGTTGGGTGAAACAATTCAACCAAACATTTGGATAAAAATTGCTTGTTTGTCTTTCTTAACTCGTGTCGGTCGAATTGTAAATTTCATTGAATAGCCCGGTGTATTTCTTGTTTACAACAAGAAATCCGTGAGGTTATGCTAACTAAACATACAACAAACGAGAATTTTCCATGTCAATTTTTTACTGACAAGTCCCACATCAAATATATTAGTACATAGCTTTGGATCCATCCAATCATTTTATAATAGACAATTAATGGGGAGGATACGGCATCAAAAATGTCCAACCCTTACACTTTAACTATAAAATATACATGCCCCACGTCAGGAACCGTTACAAAAGTGCATTTTACACTTATTTTATGTTTTTTAGCCAAAGAAAGGTCCAAAAAATTTCTCGCCTCGCTCCGCTCGGCAATCTTTACATACTTCACCCCCCCTTTCCAAAATCCTGGATCCGCCCCTGGTTGATTAGCAGAATTTCCGGATTTTTTACTGTTAATCTTAACTCTGTTTTTTGCAGTGCGGTTTACAATGATACGAAGTTGGGTCAAGGTATCAATTTTTGAGCTTGCATATAGCATTTATATAACATCTGCGAATGTGGGACAGCCTACGTAATTGGTACCGATCTTAAATACAATGTTTGTGGTTGAAAGTGTATGTTCTTATTGTAAGCCTTATGGAAGTCAGCGGAGACAATCCCTCCCTGTTGATTTGTGAAAGGTTCTGAGATACAAGCCTTGAAATTTAACCCGTTTTTCATAGAGATCTATACACTTTTATTCAATTTATTGTCTGGAAACCAAATGTCTTTGGACGACGACAATGTCGTACCTTATACCACTGAAACAGTCTGCGGTCGCATTAAAAAAATGATATTTCACATAAAATTTCGTCTCTCTATATACACTCTGCAACGTTTTTACCATTATGAATAGATACATCCCTCTTTCCTCAAACCAAGAATCTGCCCTATGGAGATATTGCACCATACTAGTTAATTGTACCCAAATGTAATTGTATTATTTGTTGAATTTTCTTCGTTTGTCCCTTCCCATCATTCCTTTTCTATAATACAAAGCCACAGTACAGCCTGGGTAAAAAAAAATCTCAACTATCAATTAATCATTAAACTAGGATGCAAAACACCACAAATCAATCTTTAATTGTTACCAACAGAACATTTGAAGGTCTGTTAGGTTCATGGTGTTTCGCTAGCTCAATAGTACACAATTTGGTGTCCATATGAAAGGTATAGTTTTGTGATACTTACCGTCTTGCCAAATAAATAACACATAGCTGAGAGGGT